CACAATGTACAGTTACGTTGAACCTGGCCGAAGCAGGCTTATCCCCCTTCTCGTCTCCCCCGACAGCCTCCACTAACATTGCATTCGGGCCTGAGCACGCTTACATCATCGATGATGCGCTGTTCAGTAGAGAAGCGCTCTTGCTCAGCACAGTGGAGATTTTTTTAGTTTTAGTCATTTAAGATGCAGTGACACGCAGTCAAATATTTCGCAGAACAAATCAGCCACTTTTGATGCTTATAGACAATCATAAAGTCCTCCTGCTGCAGGTATTAGGAGGCTTGCTAAAAGTGCAGTGGTCGTGCAGTGAGAAGTTTGCGTCTTTAATAACCTACGACAGTTTGCGTTCATTAAACAGTAAGCATGATTAATAAATCCACATGAAACAGTCCCTTAGAAGTCACATTCAGTTTCTGAGCCCAAGTGAACCGCGGTCTGGCGCACCTCTTCCAACCGGGCCAGAGCCCGATTCAAAGCACTCACACTTCTCAAAAGATCCAGGAAATGGGCCTGGGCACAGTTCATATAGCATAGTGTGAGTGAGCCCTTAGTATAGCTGATTAACCATGTGGATGGATGATATCAGCCTTCTGAGCCTACCAGTAGGTGCAGAAAGCCTCTATTGGCCCATATCTCAGCAGAAGACAACTTGTAATGACCATTCAATCAAGATAACATTGAAGATATTTTATCACTATCTCACTCTCTCTCTCTCTCTCTCTCTCTCTCTCTCTCTCTCTCTCTCTCTCTCTCTCTCTCTCTCTCTATATATATATATATATATATATATATATATATATATATATATATATATATATATATAATGTCTCTGTCAATGTTTCAAACTATTATATTTGATTTACCAAAGTCACACAAGTGAAAATTTCACATCTCTCACATCCATAACAGAGAGATGTCACATCCATAACGATCATTTTTCCTCATAAATCAGAAAAAAAAAACTCAAATAAAATCAAATCAGTCATTTTTGTTCTACAGAGAGCCGACTCCTTTTGATTAGCATTATTTCTTTTGAGTTGTGCAGTTTAATTCACAGAATTTCTACAAGCATGTTGTATTCTGTAAACTCGCAGACTTTTTTTGTCACATCCAAAACGCATGTTTATTTCCTTCATTTAAAGCCTAAAAAAATGCTTGCAGATTGATATTTTTCTGATCCCATAACTCAGAGCTTAGTTGTTTTGGAAAATATAAACAGAAGTTTTAATATAATGTTAAAATATACTTTATCTGTGAATTTATATTTTGAGTTTTTACTGCAAATTACTATACATTATGTTACTATTCTTAGCTTTTTTGCTTAACATTTGAAATTTTCTTTGTTATGGCCATATTTTATGTAAAACACAACATTCATGGGTCATAAAAGGCTAGACACATAAATAAGTGCTAAAAACAATGCTAATTACAACTAAACTGTCTCATTTCCAAAACTACTGAACACCAAAAAAAGCAGATGAAAATCATTTATTTTAAAAACATTTTGTCAAAGGCTCCCTAAAACATCTGACGGGGGTTTTGTTGGACCTGTTCAAAAAGCTGGCATGTGATTGGCCGGAGAGTAGAAGCTGCCCTGTTGGCATGGCAGCGGGCGAACAGGCCAGGCCATGTTGTTTACACAGTGGCCAGCTTTTTTTATTGCCTGTCTGTGCCTGCGTGTCTCCGCCAGTGTCCCTCCATCTCCTTTCACAAGGGCCTGGGTAAATATGCCTGTTCAAATAGCCATCAGTCAGAGGCAGTGACAGGCCTGTACTCCGTTCCTGAGCGTCCCGAACCCCCCGCTCATCCCCCCTCGCTTCGGGCCACGCTCTCTATCTGAATGAGAAAGAGTTCAAACTCCTGCTACATTTAAATGAATGCCCAAGAATTCAGGGCAAACACTTTTAACTCCCTATAGGATATAAATAAAACATTGATTCTGTTTAAAGGAACACTTTGAGTTTAAGTCTATGTGTTTATGGGAGGACACCGCAGGTGAATTGGGGACAAAAATGAACAAAAAGTTATCAACATACACTCAAAAAATCACATTTGCTGTTTGTTCAAACTACTTATTTAAAATGAGCTGAAACAACACCATTATTGAGTTTTTTTAATGGGGATAACTTAATTGTTTTGAATTTAATTTACTTGTAAATTTGTAGAAACTAATAAATCAACTTAATTCCTTTTATCCAGCATTTTTTATTTTAGAAAAAATGTTAGTGCCTTAATCTTTTTAATTAGTTGAATCAAATTATCTTTTTATTCATCCCAATTTACATCAATCAAACTGACTAACCATATTAAGGTAAACTTTGTATAACGTACAAAATGCAGTTGAAACCTGCATAACTTCTTAAAAATAAGTTACAGAAACTTAAAAACTTTTGTTGTCAGGAATTTTGTCATAGCATGTCATTTTGTCAATGTAGATCAAGCCTGTAGACAGCCTGGTAAGGGGGTGGTTTTTTATTCTCCAAAAGTGGACCTTTTTGCAGGTATGCATCTCATATTTTGTGATTTTGTGATTTTTTTTATTTTATATTATGAGATTTAAATACTGCATTTTAGTGACATTTTAAGCACTGTTTTAGCTGGATTAGTATGTAGTCAATCTAGGGCCATATATAAAAGAAAATTTTGCAACCAAAAAATAAAGCATTGAGCAAAAAATAAATACATAAATGCAAATCTCCAAAAATCACAAAGCAAAAAAATTATTTTTGAGAAATAAAAATTAATTTTATTAACAAAAATAAAGAACTGCAAAGGGAAATTTTTATATTTAATATTTGTAAAATCAACAAAGCAAAAATTTTTGAGAATAAAAATGAAATTTGCAAAAAAAAGAAAAAAAAGAATTGCATTTGCAAAATAATAATAATAAAAACAATATATATATATATTTACAAAACATTTTCTTATAGCATCGCCTTTACAAAACCCGTCCAGTCAATTGCAATGCTCATTTTGATTTGCTTTTTAGTCAACCATGAGTTTGAGATACTGTTTTCACTTTGCACTTCAAATTTCTTTTTGTGGCTCTCATTTGACAAGGTGTGGAGTCAAAACTTGGGCATTTATGGCAGACCTGGACCTGCCTCAATTTAAGCAAAGTCATAATTTGCTTTCCAACCGCCATAAAACTTTAAATATGCATTAAAAAGCTAATCAAAATGAGCATTACAATTAACTGGAAAGGCAATGCTGTAAGAAAATGTTTTGCAAATATATATAATTTTTGTTGATTTTGCAAATATTAAATTAAAAAATTTCCCTTTGCAGTTCTTTTTTTTTGTTAGTAAAATTATGCTTTGTTTCTCAAAAATTAATTTTCGCTTTGCGATTTTTGGAGATTTGCGTTTATATATTTATTTTTTGCTCAATACTTTATTTTTTGTTTGCAAAATGTTCTTTTATTTTGCTTTTCAGGTAGTTATCATAACCACACTTTTTGATGTACCAAAATATTTCATAAAGATTTAGAATAAAGAAATATGAAAAAAATACTTATTTTGAAAATTCAAATTTATTATATTATATATAATTAGAAAAAAATAGGAATCTGTTAAAGTTTTACTTTAAAAATTGGAGCCTATTGTCATTTATTAGGCAAATAACAAACTGCCCAGCACATTCAGCCTTCCTCAGTCAGAATTTGGCCATTTCAGAAAAAAATATTAAAACAATATAATAATAATAATAATAATAATAATAATAATAATAATAATAATAATAATGTAGAGCTTCACAATTTTCTAGCCTCTCTGTAAAAAAGTATTTTTGAAAATTCATGGATTACAACAATAGCTAAAATAGCATTCAAAGTCATTTTTAATGTGGTCCGCTTTTGGTGCTTCACACCTTTTTATTGGTAATTTTTTTTTTTTTTTTGTTTCAAGAGTAAGGTCCAAGATTTAGAATAAAAGGTACTTTTTAAATGTTGTCTATTTAAAAATACAGTAGCGAAAGATTACATCACTTATGTAAGACTGTATGTTTTCTTGCACAGCTGGATGTTGGACTAAAAAATATTTGTTGGCACTGGCCAAAACTGATCAGCTGAAGTCACACAGAAGGGACAGCTGACAGAGGATTTCGCTTGGTCTTAAAGCCTTTTTGATTGGTTATGTTTACAATTTATGATGGCATAGCAGTCAAAATAGGACAAATGACCTCATGTATGGGACAAATTATGGGCTTTTGTCAGTGAGGGGTGGGTCTTTTGATTTTAAAAAAATTTGGTTAAAAAAAAAGTATATTTTGTAGAATAAAATGTATTATAAATGTATATAATCAGACATGTTAAGTATGAAAGTATCCCTAATTAAAAGTGATCTCTTCATAATATAGATACAAGAATTAATTGTGGTGCTAAAATGGAAATGTGTGCCTCAGCACTAAAGGAAAAGTGCATTTTAAAAATTTACCTTACCGTAACTAAAATTACATATCGTAATTGAAATCTATAGATACAAATTGATAAAGTACAACAAAAGAAACACTTAAAAGTGCAATTTGTATGTTTTCTTTGCATTAGACATAGAAAAAACACTTTACAAACAGCCCAAAACACACACTAAATCTCTAAATTGACAGGTGCATGAAATAACAGTGCAGTTGCCGGCAGTGTCTGGCCTTAAAATGAAATCTATAAATTGGCTTCATTCAGTTAACGTCATCCACCATTCAGCTCCTCTATTATTCTCTCTTCATCGCCGGCTCCACCTGTGTTTGCAGAGTGACAGTGGTGTGGTTCTTTCAGGACAGTCAGATAAGCTAGCAGCAAATAACAAAAAAAAGATGAGGGACACCCAGCATCTATTTATCCCTTTCTTCCTCTTTCATCCCTTTGTAATCTGATTCCTCTATTCATCGCTCAGCCTTGTGGCTCTCCGGCCTCTCTGAGGCTGCTGTTTAGGGTGTGCACCTTTCTTATTTTTACTTATTGCCGCTTATGTTCCACATATTCATCCAGTATCATTTTTCTTTTCGCATTATTGCCCACCTTTATGTTCTGGTTTGTTGTTTAATCATAAAAGTGGTCAAACTCATCATCATCATCAGACTGCACTGGATCTTTTGTGGCTGCGGGATGAGGATTCTTCTGTGGGAGAGATTCCTCCTCTGAACCAGAGGGTTCATCTGGGTAAAAATAAATCAAGTATTAAATTAAATGCAAATGATGACGTGTCACTAACCATTTTTCACTAAGTTTTTCTTTTGCTTTTTTTGAAGGACAAAGAAAGCACAGTTGAAAACAAAATTATTAGCCCTCCTCTGAAATAGTTTTTTATCGTAGCACAGAAGATATTTTCACATTATTTCCTGTTATATTTTTTATGGAGAAAGTCTTTTTGACTTTAGGTTATCTGGAATTAAGCTTATTTATTTTTTCATTAAAAAAATTATTTTAAAAAAATTACAATTAAAAAAAGTCAATATCATTAGCCCTCTTAAGAATTGAGTTTCACAATTAACCTAGTTAAGCCTTTAAATGGCAAAAATTGAGCCTCGACTGGATCAGTTGGGTTTTCTGTGTGGAGTTTGCATGTTCTCTCCATGTTTGCGTTGGTTTCCTCTCGGTGCTCTGGTTTCCCCCACAAGTTCAAAAAAATGTGGTATACAGTGTATGTGTGTGATTGAGTGTGTATGGATGCTTCCTAGTGATGGGTTGCAGCTGGAAGGGCATGCACTGCATAAAACATATGCTGGATAAGTTAGCAACCCCAGATTAATAAAGGGACTAAGCCGAAAAGAAAATGAATCATATAAATCATTAATGGTTGTAATTTACAGTAGGCTATTTATTAATAAATAAATAAAAGTTCTACTTAATTATAATAATCATACATCATATAGAACTACAGTACAGACACAGTTCTTAGTAAATAACCTATAAATTAAAACCATTATTGAACGCTTTTAAATAAGTCTTCCATAGCTTTTGTCAAAAGGCTCAGCTGCCTTCAAGATCGCTTAAATGTTTTCAAATTACACTGCAGAGAGAACGAAAGGTCAATATAAAGATTGCTAAAACTGAACTGTGAAAAATACTTTCAAAGCTAGTTACACCTAAAGAGAGATGACTAATGCTTTTTTTTCCAAGTTTAAATGTTGGAACGTTCTAAAGGAATAGGGCACAACCAGGAACTAAGCTTCTAACTACAGCTCTAGAGATGTAGTTGCAAACGTACAAGTTTGCGAATGTTCATTGGAGCGATGGATTTGGGAAACGTCAAATCAGCGAACTATGTTTGTAATGATGGAACTTGCAAACTTAGTTGGCTAATGATGGTTTTCGGAAATGCACCCCTGGTTAGTTGTAGTTTAAAAAAAAAAAAAAAAAAAAAAAACTACAAAGAACATTCCTAAAACGTTCATACTGGGTTCCCAAAAGCAATGCAGTTTATGCTGGAGAGAGAAATGAGTTACTGGATTAAGTGTCTGCTAATTAATTAAATATTATCTCCAGCAAACACAGAATTGTTTTTGTGAACCAAAGAGGAATGTTCTAGTAATTTTCTCTGTAAGTTGTTTTTTGGTAACCAAAACTAACATTTCCAGAATGCTAAACAAAACTAAACTTTCCAGAGTGCTATTTACTTTGTAAAAACTTAAAGAGAGCCTAAAAGGGAACATTTCACAAATGCTGCTGAAAATGAAAACATTTTATTGGCAAATTAGCCTGCCAATACATAAAATAGTCCCTGTTCCCCTGAAATTGAACCGATTTGTTTATTATTATATCAACTTTTTGCTCTTGTTCTAGTTATAATCATTATTATAATGACATGTACTAAATAAATAAAAAACTACATGGTCAAATAAAATGTTAAACACATTCACAGAACTTTTGACAATAAGACTATAACATGGAAGTGGAAAGTAGTTTACCCAAATTCACTAATAGTTAGCATGATATCATTCCAAATAAACTTATTTAAACGTAAACATACCATTTGATTGTTCCGTCACATCCTCCTTCCTATGGGAATGAATAAAGGTTAGAGTTGTGATGAGGAAGACCTAAATACCACACAATACAGAAGTCCCAAAGCTCGAAACACTGCAAAACTCACTTCTGTGTTTGAGAGTTGACAGGGTTGAGAAGACCTTTAATGTCATCATCATCATCTGAGCTTTTAATGCGATCGACTAAAGGATCTCTTGACCACAGATGAGCTTTCTCAACCACAACCTCATCATCATCTTCATCATCTACATCTTGATTGTTCACCCCACCTTCTTCAGTCTCGTCAGAATAGAGCTCCTCAAGACTACACAGAAGCCCAGTGTTAGTCCAGAGAGTAGAAGATTCATATTAAACAGAACAAGAATTGATCAAGATGTGTAACTTGCATGCATTTGATACCTGTTGTGAATGTCTCTCTCAGAAGTATAAACTTGATTGTCATCCTCTCCACTTCCTTCAATGTTTCCTTCTTTGCTTTTACCCTGAAAGCTATTATCTCTCTCCTCTTCCTCTGTTGTCTGTCCTTCACCTTCACCTCCTTCAGGCTCTTTGTTATCACTGGCTTCAATCCCACCTCTGTTTCCCATTTCTTCTTCATCATCTACTCTTGATTCCTCTCCTTCACTTCCATCTTCTTCATCTTCCATTTCTGGCTTTTCCTTACCATTGGCTTCAATCTCATGTCTCTTTCCCATCACTTCTTCATCTGTGCTTCCCTCGTCCTCTTCATCAATGTTTCTAAATCTTACTTTCTCCATTGCAACAATGATATCACAACTGTCATCTTCTCCTTCATCGGATTCATCTTCCTCTCTAATGTTCTGTCCTTGGGGTTCTTCTTTCTTTTCTGGCCTGATGTGACACTGAGGTGCTTCTTGGCTTATGTTTTCATCCTGGTCATCTTCATCTTGACTCGCTGCACTGATACTCTTCTTTCTGATTATAGATTCTTCACTGCTGTGCTTCTTATGTGCTTTTTGTGTCTTTGTGTCTGAGTGGCTCTCTGGAGCATCTTCAGACATAGTGGAAGAGCTAAAACAGATCATTGTTGAAGGAGGTTAGAATAAGAAAAAAAAAACTTTTAACCACATTTCTAAATGTGTTAAAAAAAGTGCACAAAGGCAGAACATTTACTTAAAGGTAACACTTAAGCATTGCTATGCTTACTAAATGTACCTTTAAGATACTAATATCCTCAGCTTAAGGGTAAATACGGTACAGAATTACCTTTTGAAAAGGTGTCTTTTTCTGGGACTATGTAAAACAGAGGTTCCCAGACATTTATATTAAGGGCCAAAAATCAATTGAGAAACTTGGGTACAGATTTTATGCCAAAACAGTTAAAAACCTGGCAAAGTCCTGTTTCACATGTACAGATTCAATTATTAGTCCTCTAGTGAAATTAAAATTATTTTTCAATCATTTTCAAAAGTAATTTTTTATCAGGGCAATGCATTTTCTGAATATTTTCCATTGTATTTTTTTCTGGCTAAAGTGATTTTCTTTTAGATTAAATTTAAAAAAACAATATTATCAGCCTCTTACAGAATAAGCTTGCTTAATCTCCTTTAAGTCAAACTCTTATTGTCATTTTAATTTGTTTATTTACATTTATATTGCTCAAAAATTAAAGTTATGTAGAGGGTGTTGCAAATGGATTGATTTTTTTTTTTTATCTATGGACTCATAAAATGTAATTAACATTCTGTCATTTATGTTACCCTTCAGATTTGTTGCCATTTGCTGACGCTTGTGATTTGGTCCCATTTCTTTTGGTCTTTCTCTGTTTTTGCATCTCAGAAGAAGGGTTTTCAGAGGATCCAGCGCTGCCTTCACTACTTCCTCCACAGTCGACTGATAGACGCACTTTAAGAAGGTAAAATACACACAGACAGCATGTATGTAATTAATTGTGAATGGCAAATGAGCATTAGAGCAGACATTAGTTATCAAGCACGGTGGAATACATGGAGCTGTTTCAACCCAAAGTTATGGAAAATATGGACCAGCCCAACTGTTGGGTTAATTTTTTTAATATAAGTTTTAACCCAACTGTAGGGTTAATCCCAGTGGTATAAAGTAACTAATTACAAATACTCAAATTACTGTAATTGAGTAGTTTTTTTCAGGAATTGTAATTTATTAAGTAGTTTTAAAATTGTGTATCTTAATTTTCCCTTAAGTACAATTTTAGTGCTGTATCTGTACTTTTACTCCACTATTTTCCTTCAACCTGCAGTCACTACTTTATTTTTTTCTTGTGGGGATTAGAAAAATCAGTCCTGTGATTCCTGTCCAATCAAATTACACATAAAAGGTAAATCACCTCATAATGAACTACCTCAAGACATGGGTGATTAAAAATTGCAGAAAACTGTTTGGAAGCCTTACAAGAATCCAAGAAATCTTTACACGCAATGACCCAGAGACTGTTTAGATGCATGTGACTGATGGGAAAATGATAGATGTTTACTGTATGATGACCGAAATGGCCTTAAACACCCAGCAGGCACAAGATGATGTCAGATTAACATTGTACCGCAACGTCGTGGGGATGTTGCATTTTGTTTGGAAATGAAAATTGGGTTTATGTCAGAACTCCAACCTGAAATTAACTAAATATCAATAAATGATATTACTGTACAGCTTTACGTTGTGTGGATGTTACCAATATGACATATATTAGATGTTTAAGATGTTGGCTCGACTTTGGATTTTGGTCACTTTCTAACAACCTAAAATCAACCAAATATCAATGTCTTTTGACATTGTTATTGGACGTCAATATCATGTTTTCCTTAGACATTGGCTATATGTTCCACCTGACCCCACAACCTAAGTCTAACCTAATATTAATATCTTATTACATTGTGTGTCTGCTTGGCAATAACTAAATGCAGTACAGAATGTTACGTTTACACACATCCACATATTGCATGTAAATGCATCAGCTTTTAGCAGCGTAATATTCACTGCACTTGAGTACTTTTAAAAGGTCAATTTTTTTACTCATATTTTGAATAATATTTATAACAGAGACTTTTACTCTACTTGCACTACATTTTTAGGCAAGTAATGGTAATTTTACTTGAGTATGATTTTTCAGTACTCTTTCCAACACTGGTTAATCCATATATTACTAGTGTTGACTAGTACAAACAACACAACCTTCTCACAACATGTCACTTTGGTTAATTTGCTTAGTTAGACATTGTGAAATAATATAAATCTTCAACAAACATAGTATATGCCAGAACTTTCACTTTTGTTAATCAAATTCTAGCAGCATTTTTTGTTTTTCCTTCTAATCATACAGCAGTAGGTCACTCATTCACTTTTCTATGGCTTCTTCCCTGCTTTATCAGGGGTCGCCACAGCCGAATGAACCACTAGTTTCTTTGGCAATTGTTTTACAATGGGACTTGAACCAGTGACCTTCTTGCTGCAACGCAAACATGCTAACCACTTAGCCACCTGAGTAAATCTGTTGCCTTAAAAGTGACCTTTCTTTAAAATGTGAGTGAATGCATTGTAACTTGAAACCGTTAAGTTGACTGTTCATTCATTCATTCATTTTCTTTTTGGCTTAGTCCCTTTACTAATCAGGGGTCGCCACATTGGAAAGAACCACCAACTTATCCAGCATATGTTTTACGCAGAGGATGCCCTTCCAGCTGCAATTCATCACTGGGAAACATCCATACACACATACACTGCGGACAATTTAGTTTATTCAATTCACCTATAGTGCATGTCTTTGGAGTGTGGAGGAAACCGGAGCACTTGAAGGAAACCCACGCTAACACGTGGAGAACATGCAAACTCCACACAGAATTGCCAAATGACCCAGCCTGGACTCCAACCAGCGACCTTCTTGCTGTGAGGCAACAGTTCTAACCACTGAGCCACCATGTCTCCTTGACTGTTCATTTACTTAATAATTTGAAAGCAATGAGTTTAAGTAGAGTCAACAAATATCTTTTTACAGTGCACCATCATTATGCAAATCAAGAATTTTGTTGATGGCGCATCCATATAAAAGAATAGTTCATTTTCATTTGACTGATGATGTAACATTTTTCTAAACAACTAACCTGGTCTACAATCCAGCTCAGAAGTTCGATCACTCTCTTTTGCATTTCTTCTGTGTTTTACTCTCAAATGGTTCTCCTCATTTGGATGTATTGTTTCTTCTGCCACATTTTCCTGGTTGTTCTCACTGCGCTGGACTCTTTTCTGACTGGAGCCTGGTACTTCCATCATGGGGTTGACCACTGGTAGTGGTGGCCAGGCGGCAGCAGCAGGAGTGAAGTGAGCTGTAGGCTGCAGTCTTTGCCACAGATGCTCCATTAATGGTTTCTTCTGCTGGACTGGAGGATCTGACTGATGGAGAGAATCACCAGGTACAGGATAGTAGGGATGATTCAAGGCTTGAATGTTCTGGAGGTTTTTGTAATCCTTTGGGAAATTGTTATGAGAGAGTCCGGATATAAAAGGCTGAGAGCCAGTTAACCATGTAGGTGGAAGGTATGGATGGTGGGCATTTTGGTTGCATCTTTCAGCTTTTGGCTTGATATCTATAGAAACAAAGTCTTTTAAACACATTTTCCTCAGATGACATTATAACAGAAATTGCTTTTACCTTTGGGTGCCTGATGACTGTTTGCCACAGTGTGGGAAGTTTGTGATGGATCTGGAGAGTTGAAGGACATTGCTTGGCCTCTATCCTGCTCCATGTGTTGAATATGGTTCTTTAAATGCTGTTGTACCCGCTGGATAAAAACAGACATCTCTATGAATGCATGTTTACTGTTTTCCACTCATTCTTCAGTAACCTTTTCAGACAATCAGTAAACCTTTAATGTTTTATTTCAATCTTAGTCATAATACATTTTATAAGACATCCCTTTCACCTTTGACTTTTCAGAAACTCTTATGTCTTTCAGTCTTTGCTGCCATCGTGGGAAGTTCTCTTCCAGGTACTGTTCGTACTGAACCTTTTGAAGGGCAAATGAAGGTTAGTTTAACAGCAGTAAAATAATCATGTGTATGTAACGGCAAATTTTAATACATTTTTATGTGTCATAATTAACACAGGGCATACTTTCAAAACAAAGTGCAAAACTGTACCTTCAGTGTTGTAAAAGCTTGTCAAAGGATAGTGCTGTTAAATGCATAACTTTATACCTTATTTATGCTTATTAGACGGCTCTCTGGAATACTTGATTCTGGTTGGTCAGCCGTGACATTCCAAGATATATTATTCCCAGATAACAACAGCTGAAACTAACACAGGCTTGAATCATCTTGACCATTGTTGAATGCATTCATATCCATATTTATATGCTTATATTTGACTCCACTGTTCTAAACTGTTTGGTGCCATTTTGTGACAGAATAATTAGTGTAGTGTAGGCAGCATTCAGACAATACAATTGTGTGTGTGTCACGAAGGTAATACAATTGATAAACCCATGAATCAATGCGCTTCAGGAGAACTTTTGGCTTGCTTTTTCTCGAAGTGACCTGATTGGCAGATTTTTTTTCATTATTTGAAAATAATAAAATTGTATTTTGAATGTTGGTCAAGATAGGCCAAATTTACATGGATTACTTATCAATTATTAACATCTGGGCCAAATACTACATTTTACATCTGGCCCAAGTATTGTGTGCTGCCTTAGAGACGGTCTTACCTCTGCCAAACCAGGGCCATGTTTGGCCCACATGCTGTATGCCAGTGCTGGATGAATGCCTGCTGTGCCAGATTTATGCCAAATATGGGCCAGAATTCTTTGCTACCTGGGTGGTTGTTTTCACCGAATTAAGCCCTTGTATTTTACAACAAGTCTAAAACGCCTATTGGGTTTTATTTTATGAGAACAACTGATTATCCCTTAGATAAAGGCTGCATATGAAAGGGAAATTGAGATGGAATTCACTTTTGTGACTCAGTGAAATAGTTTCTAGAAAATTAACAAAAAAAGTCAATTTATTTCATTGTTGACCATTGATATTTGCTGCAATTGTGTGTGACTTATGCTGACCAGGGTTGGGAAACAACCGAATGCATGTAACTTGATCATAATAAAACATGACCATCTTTATTTCATCACATTAGTTACATTTTAAATAGGGACTCACTTACAGTCACACCTGCAAAGCATTTGTGATTTTGTAATCTGCAGTGAAATACATTCAGTAAAAGTAACCTTCCTAAACCTGACCTGTCTCTTCAAGATTTGGGAATATTTTTGCTGCAAAAGCCTGCCTGATGCTGACTTTAAGGGAATGTGTGAATTCTCCAAGGAAGACACACTTTAACAGTAAAGCTGCACTAAAGGCATTTTTGCACATATTACTCCCACAGTGCTGCTGTTTTACATTATAAATAGCAGAAGTCATATGGTTGCTGACCCGTATGATGTTCATGGCTTCGGTACGGGCCACCATGTCGCTGAGTGTGTCTTCTGCTCTCTGAAAGTCCTGCAGGAGTTTTTGGTTATGAATATGAGCTCTGCGTTCCTGCTCACTGATCTCCAACCAGCGGCCCTGCAGCCAGGCAGCCCTGCTACTATAATCAAACCAAACACATTAGCAACTCATTCACTAACACAACACTCATTTTTCTAAAATACTTGTAAAACACTGATTAAATAGAGACTCGTTTTTATTAATTACATACTGGTAGTCTACTTGTTTATTAGATAGCCTACTTATTCTAATTTATCAAATGCTGTTAGTTATTTATTAGATACTAGTTCTTATTCCAGATGTTACTATTATGAATTTTGAAAGATTTTTAAACATTGGTTTTCTGATTAGTTATATATATATATATATATATATATATATATATATATATATATATATATATATATATATATATATATATATATATATATATATATATACATAACATAAGACAAGTAAAAAAACTGACTAACAATAACAAATATGAGACTGGTAGCTAATGAATGAGTAGTTGTAATACACAAAACAAGAAACTGGTACATTTTATAAATTCAATATTACAAAGCTTTTTACCGATTCTTGTAGTAAGCAGTAGTAAGCAGTAGTAGCAGGCAGTTTTTATCCCTTTGGTTCCAAAGTATAAAACTTTTATCAGGTATCATTTTTTTACAACTTCAAATAAGTCATACAAACACAATTACATTAAAAATCACAACATCCTATAATAGATAGCACACTCTATTTATTCTCAAATTAGGAATTCAGCAGATATCAGTCAATGAATGTTTTATTCTTACAGGCGATGACTTCTTTGTTGTGACTGAAGATTGTTCTGGAGCTGCATCCTCCTTCGCTGACTAGAGTTATTAAACAAAACGTTCAGAAAACATTGTTATAGTGTTAAACACACACACACACACACACACACACACACACACACACACACACACACACACACAGTCTACTAAATCGTAATCTTAACATGTGTGACTAACTTTCCTCAGAAGGTAAAGAGCGTTAGTTTTTTTGCATGACCGCATCATTCTTTCGTCACTTTTATCAAAGATGCGAGTTTGATATTTTATAAAACAAAACAAAGTGGATTTCATTTTTAAATCCTTGGTTATTTAAACTTTCACTTTATATTGACAGACAATAGCGCTCTCTGCTGGTTGTGATAGCGCATGAGAAAATTATTAAATCAGCATTCACTGAGAATTTAATATACAGTAGCCTGTCATGGTTTGCATCACAACATCTCGACAGCATAAAACAAAATATCCTTTAATAAACTTGAGTAATTTCAATTCGAGAAGAGGTAGAAGTAGGCTAGATCTGAGGCTGAAACACACAGAATCAAATATAAGGCTTTACAGTTGCTGGTGACTCGAGCACTCACTTGTGTTGTAGATTCTCGTATGCTTGATAATTGTCCATCTCGCTCTTTGTATATGATGTCATGCTAAACTCGCAGTGAATGGCAGTCGGCTCTCTCTACAACCTACAGTGCGGATTATATGAGATTAGGGATTATTCTGTGTGGAAGGAGGTCAGAAAGGAAAGGAGTGGTCATAGAAGTCTGTCTACTCCTTTTACTGACTATTCACTACACGCAGTTTTACAGAAGCCTGTCACATAACTCAACATGGCTTTCTTTAATATTATTTATTTACAAAAGTTGTTGCGTTATTGTTTACCAAATAATAGCAATCATTATAATACTGTAGGCTACTAAATTCTCAACAAAAAAAAGACCATAAAAATATTTAAGACGTATTTTCACAGCTGTGATTTTTTTCATTTAACAGTATTGTTAACAATGAATCAATGTAATTAAAACAATCGTATTTGTTTATTTTGTATTAGTTAAAAAACATTCAATTAAATTTATATATATATATATATATATATATATATATATATATATATATATATATATATATATATATATATATATATATGGGAAACATCCAGCCACGCTTACACACTCTTTCACACGCATACGGATAGACATTTATCTATTTTATAATAACTATGAGCAGAAATAATAGCAATCGTAAAAATACTCAACTAAATAAGACCATAAACATATTTAAGACATTTTTTAAAGCTGTTATGTTTTATTTTCACAGTTTTTAACGGTGAATCAATGTAATTTAAATAATGTTATATTTATATTTGTGAAAATACGTTAAATAAATTATAAGAAGTCACATATTTATTAAAAGTCTTTGTTTGTTTATTTAATTGCTTGTTTATAGGTTTATTTGTTTGCCAAAACCTTATGTGATTAAAAAAAGACTGTAAATTTGGCAGATTTTTGTACAAGCGTGGAACTCTTTTAGAGGGGCGTTGCGGCAGACGGAATGTTTCAGCTGCGACACAGACCTGTCATGTGCCGAATGTTGTTAGCCAGAAGCAGCAGCAGCAGTTCATTGTGAGAGATTTGCTCTGTATTTACTGTCGGGACAATATACTGAATGGAATGACAGGTCAGTATCACTTACTTACAATATATTACGGATATGTTTTTTTTTTAGTTTTCAACTAGTTGTTTCTGTCAGCGACAACTACTTGAACCTTCAATGTTGTATTAGCAATTGTTAATTCATTGCAACTTTCAGTTTAACATGCCTTTAGGAAATAAAATGTGTCGTTTAATGATTATAACGTCTCCCCCAATTGTATCTCTTTCCTTTTTGTGTTTAGATTCGAGCAAACGTGGACCGAGTGGCTTTTTACAGGTTGAAAACAGGTTGAGCAGGTTGTGTGTCAAGAAGCGTTTGGTTTGATTAAAGGCTGAAAACATGACCAGCTTTATGAGCAGAGTCTGGTGTAAGGTGGAGTCGACCGGTCGTCAGCTGCCGATCGTCCTGAACGCCGTGTTGGTGTTCTCCATCACCGCAGAGGTTAGTTATCTGGTGCTGGTCGAGGCTCCCTTTGAACCGGAGCAGAAGAAGTCCGACTGGTCCACTATTTGGACTGGCTTGCATCTCTTCGCCCAGTACTTCATGCTGGGAAACATAACCTGGAACGCCTCGCTGTTCGTGAAAACCAACCCCAGTATTCGCGGAGTGTTTCTTGGAGGAGATACTTTGGGCCAAGGTTGGAGGTAACTTGCTTGCATTGATTGTTAAAGCGATAGTTCACAAAAAAGAAAATTCTTTTATCATTTACTCATCTTTTACTTGTTCCAAACCAGTTTGAATTTCTGTGTTGTGTAATCCATTGAATAATGTTATTTTTTCCTACTATAGACAGTTTTGAGGGATGTAAACAAAAATAATGGCCCGACGTGTTTCCTGTTTCTATAAATAAATATATATAAGCACTTAAGTGTGAGTAAATGGGGAGGGAATGGATTTTTTTTGGGGAACTGTCCATTTACAGCAAGACACTCCATATAAATAGTATAAAAAACAGTTATTGTCACCAATATTACCCATTTGATTGATTACTAGGGTTGCAGTTTTTTATTCAAAGTATTTGAAAATGTTTTCTTTACAAATTTAAATAAAGCATTAAATATGTGCCATTTTCCATACATTTCTAGCACATTGGATGAAGTCAGGTGTAATATTCTTGTCTAGTAATTAAGTTTATTTATTTAAACATTGATGCCAAAAGTTTCTCACAGAATATTTTGCGTGTCTTGCATCATTTTTTACTGTATTAAGATTTATCATTATTTAGAAATTATTTTATCCAGAAATAAATTAATTTTTTGCAGCCTAAAAAGTTGCATGTAATCCGACAAAATGTCTGTTAATATATCTTTTTGTAAAACCTTAAAAATATAGAAATGAATAAAACTGTTAATTTTAATCTGTGCTCAATAAGTGTTGATGAAGTCGAGATTTTTTGCTCAGTGCATGAGAAAAAAAGCTAATTTTGTGAATCTAGCTATTAAAAGTGTGCATTGTAACCTAAATCTACAAAAACAAACTGATAACTTGCAACAAAATAAACACACAAAATATTTTGGATATTTTTTTTTATATATCTGTCTGGGAGGAAAATCAAAAAGCCAAAAAGCCCCAAATCTTAGCATTGTCAGGTGCATGATTTTGCATTTGCTCTGTATTTATCATTCATTTATATTCCAAAATCAGTTTTTCAGCTTATGTTGTGTTCTCCGGTTCATGGTGAAAGCTCATTATTAACCATTGTGATTTGATGTTTTCTTCAGGTACTGTTACAACTGTGAGACACACACTCCTCCACGATGCTCGCACTGCTATGACTGTAACGTGTGTGTACTGCGGCGCGATCACCACTGTGTGTTTTTTGGCCAGTGCGTCGGCTTTCACAATTACCGGTATTTCCTGACCTGTCTGCTCTTCATGTGGGCAGGGCTGCTCTATGCAGTTGTCATGAACGCTGAAGTCTTCATTTTCATCCTAAAGGAGGGCGTGACGTTTCACAGTGTCATGCTTTTACTCGTGCCCTGGATAATGCTCGTCTCTGGTGAGTTTGCTAATGAGTGTCTGCTCTATAATTTCATGAAAAGTCTTAAGTTTCATTGATTTCTTGAAATGAGAGTTGAGTGTGTTGTGGAAATGGATATGTACTGGCACTGTAGAGTGCTTTAGTGCATGTCCAGAAGTGTTTTTTTTTCCTAATTTGTTTTATCCATAGGGAATTTAATCAAAATTTTTGTTTAGTAACCATGAACCAAAATATCACGCTACATTGGCATTACATCACATTACATTACTTTAATGAGGGGCAGAGCGACAATCCCACAACCATTGTGACACTTGAAATGAGATGTGCTTTAACTGCAAACTGTCAGCTTTAATTTGAGTATTTTTACATCCAAATCAGGTGAACGGTGTAGGAATTACAACAGTTTGCATATGTGCCTCCCACTTGTTAAGGGTCCAAAAGTACTTGGACAGAATAATAATCACAAATCAAACTTTCACTTTTTAATATTTGGTTGCAAATCTTTTGCTGTCAATTACAGCCTGAAGTCTGGAACGCATAGACATCACCAGATGCTGGGTTTCATCCCTGGTGGTAGAGGTCTGCATATAAATTTCCAAATAAATCGCGGAAGTGGTCTGTAACGGGTTTAATTTAGGACGGGAGCGGGCTGTCTAGCAATATCGCAGATATTGCTATGCGAATGAGAGAGAGAGAGAAAGAGAGAGCGAGCTTTGCGCGTGTTTGTGTGTGTGTGTGTGTGTGTGTGTGTGTGTGTGTGTGTGTGTGTGTGTGTGTGTGTGTGTGTGTGTGTGTGTGTGTGTGTGTGTATATGTATATGTATGTATGTTAGTGCGCGCGCGTGCGCGAATGAGAGAGAGAGAGAGCTTTCCCAGATAGCAAAATACACTCGGGCCAGTTCCGGCTAGATTCTCGCCTGCCGGAGACTTACCACTCGGCCTGGTGCGCTGCGGAGCTGGCGCGACTCAGTATTTATATACCTTTATATAAAACCTTTTGGTATTACATTGGTACTTGATACATGGTATTACAAGCCTTTGAGTTGATATAACAGCAAACGCCTGTGTGTCTGCTTGGGGCATGTGTGTGTTAGTGCGCGCACGCGTATGAGAGAGAGAGAGAGAGATTTGTCTGTGTGTGTGTGCTTGGTGCTGTGTGTGTGTGTGTTTATACAGACAGCTTGGCTGTCTGGACTGTATAGCTGGGGGATTTTCGGTTTTGTTCTCCCCCGCTCTTTAGCGGGATCGGGCGCGGCGTCCAGAAAACGGGGCGGGTCGGGCAGCGGGACAATAAATTCTTAATATAAGCTGGAGCGGTCGGGTTCGGGCTAAAACCTGGCGGGTGCGGGCGGGAGCGGGATTCAAAATTTAGTCCCGCGCTGATCTCTACCTGGTGGTGCTCTGCCAGGCCTTTTAAAGAGACCGCTTAAATTCTCTCTGGATTTATGATTTATAATTCTTTTGCTAAAATGTTTTTATTAGTATTCTGTAAGCTACAGATTATATTTCTTCTAAATCTAAAAGAATGATCTTATAATTTAGATGCCGTTTTAATTTTTTAAATAAAGTAGTAAACTTGCAATGTTTGATTTTTAAAAGCTCTATATGATGGTTATTTATTTTTATTTTGAAGTAATATTACCAGACCTTTATTGAATGAAATGAATATTAACACTAGTTAAAACTGCTTTCACATTTATAACAGTATAAAATATCTATAATATTAAAACATTATAAATAATATTTATATTTAAATAAAATTATTTAAATAATTCGTTCCTGAGGACTTTCGAGAAATCTAGTCATTCTAAAAAATTTTCAGCAACACGGGTATTTTCCACCTAAATCGTAAAAAAAATGTTTAAGCAGCAAATTAGTATATTAGATTAATTTTGTGACTCAATACATAAAATATATATATTGAATTTTAAAATAGAAATGTTAGCATTCCTGTGGTTTGTTTTGTAGCCTTTTGAAAAAGAGCCTCATAAACTATTATGGGATCTAGTAGTATTTACTTTAAATAATTTTTTAGCAATTAAATGGAATACAACTATTCAGAAGATTAAATAAAATGGGAAAAACTATGAGAAATGTTCTGTTTAACATCACAGAAATATTTGAAAAAAAATAAAATAAATGTACAGAGGGGTTATAAAAAATCCCTTTAACTCTTTATCCATAAATAAATAAATGGCATTTTAATTGTCCATAAATACAATGAGGAAAATGAATTAAAAAAAAAAAAAAAAGATCCATATATTCACAATTTGTCACAGAAATACCCATAAACATTTTTTCAACCCCATTAGCAGAAGACCCCTCTCAGTGTTTGTACTGTACAGTTCCTCTTACAGTAAAACACATTCTAGTGTGCTGTCCTGCTTTTAATGATTCCAGAAGACTTTTTTATGAAAGGAACTCTCTTGAGGACATTTTTAGCAAAGGAACACTAGAAACATGTAGAATTTTTATCATACATTGCCACTAAAAATCTTATTTATGTATTCATTTTTTTGTTGCATTAAATTATATATTAATTATTTAAATTATTTTTGCAATGAAAATAGCCTTTGTTGCTGACATGGCATTAAATAAAAAATACATTACACCAACCCATTAACAAAGTTTTTTTTCTCCAATCACAGGACAGGTGACTACACGAGCCTTTGCTTTTGCATTTATTGCTGACACTTGTGTCGTGGGTTTCCTGCTGGTCGCTGCCTTCCTCTTTTTCCACGTGGCTCTGATGCTGAGAGGACAGACCACCCGCGAGTGGTACTCAACCCGACGGCCGTACAGCCTGGGAACCATGGCCAACATCAGGGAATGCCTTGGCAAGAACTGGTACTTCTGCTGGCTCTGTCCGTTGATACCTTCCCCACTGCCTGGAGACGGCATAAACTTCAAGGTGACCGCTTCTCTTGAGCCTAAAAAGCAGGCCGTGCACTGATGCTGTAGCTGTTTTCTCAATGCAATTTCAATACACTGATGCAGAATGGCATGCTGTTGAGCCTGAAGCAGCGACTGCATGCTGCGCTCACTCCAAAACTTACCAACCCTCTTTTTATCCGAAAAACCAGCAGGACATGAAGAATTCTGATTTCACCTAACAAATGCCTTTCCTCATTGCAGCATCTTTGATGATTTATTGTTGATAATTTGGTGGATGAGAAATATATAATTTAAAAAATTTTATTGTTTTATTTTGTATATTTAGTTGTTGTTGTTTTTTTCTGTGCTGTCTTTGCTTTTGTAAAGCAAGCATTTTTGGAACGGGAAAAATCACTTTTTTTATTTTTATTGATGTGCCAAAAATGGGTTTATTCAAATGTTAAAGTGGTGTATGCCAAGCCGTCATGTATTTTCCTTGTTTTAATTAAACAAGAAGTGTCTTTTTGTTTAATATTGCACTGAATATTGTTTACCATTGGTCTGATTTTTATATTTGCTATAAATGCCCGATTATTCTTCTGTCTTTAAAATAAATGCCTTTTGGTTTTATATATTTATTTGTTTTGATATTTATTTTTAGATGAGTCTTTAAGAAATACCTTATTCACTCAAAAATTTAAATTTGATATTCATTTACGCACTGTCAGGCTATCCAAGATTTAAATCCATTAATTTTAAATCCATTAAAAAACTGATATTATTATTTTTAAGTAAAAATCCTTTTAAGTGCCCAATGTATGTTCTAGTTTAAAAACTAATGGTAACACTTAAGTTAAAGTAACAATTCCCACTGTTAACTACTGAGGTATTGCCTGCTTATTATTAAGATATGGGCTTTTTTATCAATGCGTATAAAGTGTAATATTATTCTACATCCCTTATTCTAACCAATACTTAAGCCCAACTACTAACTTGCTAACTATTAGTAAGCTCCAAATTAGTACTTAAATTAAGCTAAAAGTCTTAGTTTATAGTTTGTTAACAGCAAGATTTTGAATCTTAAAATAAAAATGTAATTTAAATTTATTTATTATAATTTATTTCAATCATAATTGTATTCAGCACTGAGAAGAATTTATTTCAAAATATTTTTAGATTGTATCATCAGCGGGGCGGCACAGTAGGTAGTGCTGTTGCCTCACAGCAAGAAGGTCACTGGTTCGAGCCTCGGCTGGGTCAGTTGGCATTTCTGTTTAAAGTTTGCATGTTCTCCCTGCATTCGCGTGGGTGGTTTAAGTGACTTTGAACGTGGCATGGTTGTTGGTGCCAGATGGGCTGGTCTGAGTATTTCAGCAACTGCTCATCTGCTGGCATTTTCATGCACAACCTTCTCTAGGGTTTACAGAGAATGGTCCAAAAAAGAGAAAATATCCGGTGAGCAGCAGTACTCTGGGGGCAAATGCCTTGTTGATGCCAGAGATCAGAGGAGAATGGCCAGAGTGGTTCCAGCTGATAGAAAGGCAACAGTAACTTAAATTACCACTCATTACAACCGAGGTATTACGCACAGCACATCGAAGCATGAGGCGGATGGGCTGCAGCAGGAGGCCACTCCTGTCTGCTAAGAACAGGAAACTGAGGCTACAATTCACACAGACTCACCTAAATTGGACGATTAGAAAAACGTTGCCTGATCTGATGAGTCTCGATTTCTGCTGTAACATTCGAATGGTAGGGTCAGAATTTTCTTGGCACACTTTGGGCCCATTAGTACCAATTGAGCATTGTGCCAATGCCACAGCCTACCTGGGTACTGCTGCTGATTATGTCCATCCCTTCATGATTACAGACTGGTTTCTTGAACATGACAATGAGTTCACTGTACTCAAATGGTCCCCACAGTCAAGGCCAGATTAAGAACACATCGGGCCCTGAGGCTATAGCAAATCCACAATATATATATATATATATATATATATATATATATATATATATATATATATATATATATATATATATATATATATATATATTAGTTACAGAAAGCTAGTATCCTTATTTTATTTATTTGCATCAGATATATTTGTCTGATGAAAGCCATCACTAATATTTCATTGCTCCATATTATTACTGACATTTTCACAAAAGGAGCAAAGTAAACATTTTTTTTTTAAGTTTTAAACATAACTGAGTGTATTTACATGAGATACATAGGCCTACTCTGCAGCAATGGACACTTTAATAACTGCTTGTGTAGGCTATTTCATTTGTTCGCGCACTGTCTCGGTTATATTGTGCGATGAACGGATTGTGCGGGCACGCGCCGGTTTATTAAGTCCAGCTGTAACTGTTGCACTACCGAGACTGCTCTTCAGTTATGAGTCCATTCAGCATGACGCCTATCCCAGCTTCTGTTACTACATGTGAAACTATATCAAACATGAAGACTGAATTTTATTTTTTGTTCTATGACCAGCTTGGTTAGCTTACCTTTGACTCGACAGTTCTTGCGGTAGTGCTGAAATAAGGGACTGTCCTTTGAAAATTAAGACATCTGATTACCCTGATGTGAAACTAAAACAGGGCTGTTCAATATTCTGATTGGGCTACAGCCACTCCGAGCTCCAGTAAAGCACCGCCGCACAGTTTTTGAACAGCAGCGAACCAAAATGAATACCTCACATCATCGATGAGAGAAAGCATAATGCAAAGAGGAGTTTCCCTCGTCTTAGCGCAAAGTAATTCTTCAGCTAATCAAGGGCCCCTTCTTCCTTGGTTCCTGGGGCTTCAGCCCCACCTAGCCGTTATGTTAATCCAGCCCTGTCCACAGTCACCTGAGCTCAATCCAATAGATGGTGGAACAGGAGATTCGCATCATGGAGGTGCAGCGGACAAATCTGCCGTAACTGCGTGATGCTATCATGTCAATATGGTCCAAAATCATTGAGGAATATTTCCTGTCCCTTGTTGAATCTATGCCACAAAGGATTAAGGCAGTTCTGAAGGCAAAAGGGGGTCTAACCAGGAAAAAAGTGGCCGGTGCAGGGGCGGACTGGCCATCTGGCAATTCTAGCAAATGCCAGAAGGGCCGGACCATTTTTTAAATGTGGGCCGGTATGCTATTTTTTTTAATAACATTTTTTATATGTATTGTATTTACATGCAGGCAACTTTTATCTCTTGCAAGATGTGAATATTATGATAATGATGATGATGATGATAATAATAATAATAATAATGATAATAAATGTTAAGCATTGGCCCAATCGGCAATAGCCGACTGGTTTTGAGATGGGCCGACCCAATCAGAGGTTACCTGGATGTAATCAAAATTTGGCGAGAATGTCAAACAAACAGTAAGTGCAACACAAGCTAATTGTCAGAGATGGACCGTAAAAAAAGGAAAGGCGGTGCTAAAAAGCCCAGAGAAAGCCAAAAATTGCTCTAAAATCAGACGCTGCCAAATGCATAAAATTAACTGAAATAGTTTCGTAAGGACAATGTCGACAGCAAGAAGGTCAATGGTTCAAACCTCGGCTGGGTCAGTTGGTGTTTCTGTGTGGAGTTTGCATGTTCGCGTGGGTTTCCTCCTGGTTTCCCTTACAAGTCCAAACACATGTGCTATAGGTGAATTGGGTAGGCCTAATTGTCTGTGGTGCATGTATGTGAATGTGTGTGTATAGGGGTTTCCCAATGATGGGTTGCAGCTTGGAGGACATCCGCTGCGTAAAAAATGGTACTGCTTACATTATTTCACAATCTATACAACAATATAAGTAGTGAATGTGCGTGTCCGTGGATGGGGCTGTGTCGGTGTGGTAATGTGGGCTGGTGTGGCTACAGTGCAGGGCTGATTTTTAGTTCCAGTCCGCCCCTGGGCCAGTGAGTGTATACAGCTCTGTTGTTTTAATATATTTAATTTGTAACAGTAAATGTTGATTTATATAGAATAAAAATATTAATGTAAAATATGTAAAATAGCTAAATCATTGCAAACTCCAACTGTAATGGTCTTCAACTTGCGCCATGTTTTATTTTAATGGTAGCGGAAAACTACTTCGTTTATGATGTTTGCTAGCCTATATTTACGACTTTGAAGTAATTACGTCAAAAGCAAATTTCCAGAGTTTTTAGCCCCATTTTATTCCCTGATTCGGAAAGAAGCCTAGGTATTCTTGAGGCCAGTATATTTCTAGTAGCCTATTTGTACATCGGTGGTGTTGTAACAGTGAACTCTGCATGAGGGCGCAGTTGTGAGTCTGGGAAACTCCCTCAGTGACGGAGACTCGAGCTCCAGTGAGGGAGGAGAGAGACCGAGACACAGGGACACAGATGGAGCTGCATGTGCTTAGAATGCTTATTAGCTGAGACAATGTGCGAAAACATCTGAATATATCTGTTATTTTCTCGCTCGGCGACAGTTTGAGCTTTTTTTGTTGTGTTATATTTGGAAAGGGCACATATCGGTAAGTAAAGGATGACAGTAAGGTTATGTCTTTATTGAAGCGATAGGATGCTGAGGCATCGACAGGCGTATGGCTGAATTCAAGCAAGCTAGTCCGCCGTATGTTGATAAGAAAGGCCACTGTATGCGGTGTGAATGAAAGAAGAGGGCTTCTCTCTCGGATGGAGGTGTTTTAAGAGGTGTGGTGGAGGGATGAAGGCGGTGTTGACATCCAGACGGCAGCGGCTCTTCTATCGGCTCTTCATATGTGCTGTGGGGCTCATCGCCGTCACCTGCTTCGCTCAGATTCTCCATGTAACAGGTGCGTTTATTCCTTAATACTAGTCTACCTGCTCATCATACTGATGTGAATTTTGAGATTTTATTTGCCGGTACATTGTGTAGGCTAATGTGATAAATATTTCATTTTTCGTGGTTGAGGACATGTGGTACATTTATAATTTATCATCTTGCATTTGTCATAATATGTTCCTGCTATGCAAGATGGATGTGTTTCAACACCAGATGAGTAGCAGTAATCGTGCTATCAGATAGACCTTAAGTGTACAAACAATGAGAAACAGAATTTAAACCGGAATAAAAATCATTTTAAAAAAAGGTTCTCAAAAATGTATTATCCCAGCTATTTATTTTATTTATATGGTTCAATCACAAAAGAATTTCATGTCATTCAAGCAGAGGAAAAAAATTAATTCTTTTGAAGTTCAGTTTTGCTCTCACTGATTGATTAATGCTCGACAAATTAAGTGTTTATGATATTTTTATAGACATTTAAATGTAGCATGAATATTGAAATATATATATATATATATATATATATATATATATATATATATATATATATATATATATATATATATATATATAAAAATAATAATGAATATCATAATTTACCTTTTGACACTTTTGTATTAGCCTGCCAAAATGTAAATTATGCTAATAGTTTGTTCTAGACTAGAGGAATCTCTTTAAGTAGCTTTCACATACTGAGAGAAATTCATTTGAATTAAAGAAATAGGACAAAACCCTTTTTGAAATAGTTATTGGGCTATAAATGATTAATCCTTGTCATTAAAAATAATTGTCATTTTTATACATTATTTTTCCTGTCTACAATGTCATCTCTTCCAGAAGGAAGGCGGGTCC